TCATCTGAGTTTTTAGCCAGTCACCATCGCTGATCACAGATAACCACAAATATAATAATAATGAAAAAGTTGGAAATATCGTGAGAATTAACAAAATGTGAATGACACGGAGACATGAAGTGAGCGCTCCTGGTAGAATGGCACCAACAGGCTTGCTCTGACCAGGGTCACCGCAGACCTTCATTTTATAAAAAACAGAAGTAGCTGAGAAACACAACAGAGCGACTCTCAATAAAATGAGGCATGCCTCTACTCTACTCTCCTGCCTTACAGTGAACACAGCCCTTGGAATATCTTAGATGGTCCATCCATGTGCAAATTAGAAAGCTATGCTGGGAACCAGCCGTAACATATCTGGGGTGGTGATGGAAGTCAAGGGTTGACAAACCATCCAAAAAATGCCAGTGGTCTAGATGGTAGGTGGGGTAGGTGGAGAAGTTAAAAATGAGAAAGGATACTGAGTATAGAGTTCAAGGATGGAGGAAGTGGCCCTGGGCAGAGGTCTAGGGACTGAATGCTTAGGAAGTGTGGTCTTGGATAAGGGGTCGGGCAATCCTGGGGGGGTCAGAGAGTTCTGACACAGGCTGAGGTAGCTCTTCTTGAAGATCCCTTGACTCCTCTTTCTCTTCCCCTCCATATCCAGTTCTCCAGAACATACCATTGAACATAGTCTCAAAATGCTTCTAGACTCCACCCATATCTCACAACCTGTATCATTTTCATCCCAGTCCTAGCCAAGGTCATCTCTCACTTGCACAACTACAAGAGCCCCCTTTTCAGTGTCCCTCCTCCACTCGTACCTCCTTTCCCTGCTGCCAGAGGGACACAAATTGCCCGCTAGCCCATGAGGTCCTATAGGATTTCCTCTGTGACCTCTCTGATCACATTTCACCTCCTCCTTTGCTCTCATGTCCCTTCAGGCACACCAACACACCTTATAGTTCTGAGCATGTTAAGGGACTTTGCACCTGCTGTTTCCTAAGCTTGGAATGCTCTTCTTCCAGAAATCTCCAAGGCTCATTCAGTCCTTCTAATGAGATGTCGTCTTCCCCGGTCACCCACATAGAACAGAATACTCCTCCCCATCCCACACACATACACACGATCCCCTTCTCCCACTTTCCCCAAGAACACATGTCATGTTATGTTACATATTTATTCATTTCATTGTTTGTGTTTTCCACTAAGATAAGTGCCACGAACGAAAATGGAGAATTTTCTTGGCACACAATATATGCTCAATAAATAAATGAAAGAGTCTAGCAGATAAGGAGGAGTGAGAGATGTCAGATTCAGGGTTGTCTTGGGGGAAAGAGGTAATATTTAACGCACAAGAAGAGATTTTCCATATAACACTCGGTATATGTGATAAATATTCAATTCAGTTCAATTCAGTTGAAGTACTTATAATGCGCTTACTGTACGCAGATCACAATGCCAAGAAATGTTTGGGATAGGGGCACCTGGGTGGCTCAGTTGTTAAGTGTCTGCCTTTGGCTCAGGTCATGATCAGAGTCCTGGGCTCGAGCCCTGTGTCAGGCTCCACGCTCAGTGGAGAGCCTGCTTCTCCCTCTCCCTCTGCCTGGCTGCTCTGCTTACTTGTGCTCTCTATCTCTCTGTCAAATAAATAAATAAAATCTTTAAAGAAAAAAAGAGAGAGAGAGATGTTTGGGATAAAAGATAATTAAAGTATAGATCATGCCTGCAAAGAAGAGGGGTGAGGGCAAGTGAGACCCCTTAGTTTTTTTTTTTTTTATTCCCCACTGCATGTTCTTCATTGCCTTGCACACTGAGGGAGTGGGTAACTAATATTTTTTTTAATTTTTTAAAATTTTATTTATTTATTTGACAGACAGAGATCACAAGTAGGCAGAGAGACAGGCAGAGAGAGAGGCAGAGAGAGAGGAAGGGAAGCAGGCTCCCGGCCAAGCAGAGAGCCCGATGCGGGGCTCGATCCCAGGACCCTGGGATCATGACCTGAGCTGAAGGCAGAGGTTTTAACCCACTGAGCCACCCAGGCGCCCACTAATATATGTTTTAATACATTAATTATCAGTATACTCCTTCACAAAATCCTTTCATTACCATACTGTACAATAGAGCGAAAAACATCTTATAAACCCACAGTCTCTTTCTGAGTTCTGAACTCCACACCCCGTCCCCCAACTGCTTTTTGGACATCTTCACTTCTACGACTCTTGGGCCTCTCAAACTCAATGCATCCAATCTTATCCTATGTATCTTGATCTCAGTTTTTGAGGCGGAGCTGGTTTTTCTGCCCCATTCCTCACCTTCAACCTGGCATTCCATGGAGTTTACTTCCTGACATCCAAGGGACCTGCTCATGTCTCTCCCTCCCTGTTGCTACTTCTGTGGTCCTGGTCACCAGGGTCTCTTGTCTGGATTTTCAGCAACACCTACTAGAACTCCACTCCCCTCCCATCTTCCACATCTAGGCCAGAGTGGTCTTTTTAAAACGTACATCTGGGAACAGTACTGCCTTGCTCAGAACCTTCAGGGGTTTCACCATTGCCCTGGGCTAAAATCCACTCCCCCGTTTTTTGAAAGACTTTATTTATTTGTTAGAGAGAGAGAGTGAGCACAAGCAGGGGGAGCAGCAAGCAGAGGGAGAAGCAGGCTTCCTGCTGAGCAAGGAGCCCGAAGCGGGACTCAACCCCAGTACCCCAGGATCATGCCATCTGACTGAGCCACCCAGGGGTCCCTAAAGTCCAAACCCCTTAAAACACCATACAAAGTCCTCTAGGTTCTGGCACCAGATTTCTTCTCTGCCATTTCTTGCCACTTTCTTACAGCCTAATTTGTGCCCAACAGAGATTTCGGGTTCTCTAACTGGACTGCTCTCTCCTCCCTCTAGGTCTTGGAGGGTACTGATTCAGGGTCCGGACTCAGTTACTCTTTCCCTCCTTCCTCTCCTTCCTCCGGAGCCTCCTTCTGCTCTTTTGGATTCTACCTGTTTTCATTTCCTCCAGGAAGCCTTCCTGGCACCTGACCTGATTTGACCAAAGCCCTCCTCCTCGTGTCCCAACCCGGCAACACAGGATCCGGGCCCTAGAATGTGCTTCCTCAACCCTTTGTTCTTTTCTTGCCTTACTCCTTTTATAGTCTCCCCACTAGACTGCAAACTCCAGGAGGGCAGGACTGTCTTCCTCTGTTTTGGTTACCTTTTGACCATTCCTACCCAGAAGGCGTGTGTATTCATTAAGTATTGAATGGATGAAAATGCACTTGTTTGAATAGGGCTGTTCCTCACAAAATAATTATATCTTACGTTTACCAAGTGCTTAAGATGGGGCAGGCTCCATTCTGAAGTGCTTTACAAGTGTGCCATGGACAACTCCCATAACCCTATTTAGTAGGGGCGGGCTATTTCCCCATACAACAGATGGGGAAACTAAGGTCCAGAGAGGTGAAGTAACTCCAATGTCGGCCGCAAGGATGTGGGAGAACCAGGGTTAGAACCCAGGTTGGGTCCAGAGTCCAGTTCGGCCACAACTTCTAGGAAGTTCTGCCCTAGAATGAAGCACAATATGGGGTTCCACTACATGAAGGGATTCAAGTCTCCTGCTAAGGGCTTTGTTTTTATTTCCGGGAGAGAGGACACTGCTCCCTTGCCGCCCACTTCAAGGCTCATGGGTCCTTTGCTGGGCTTTGGGAAGGGCCTTGTGCTTCTTGCCCACGGCGCCGTAGCCTGCGTGTGACGCCCTACTTAACTTTCAAGGCTGTCCGGCCCACACGCTCCTTGTGCCCAGGCCCTGGGGCGGCTCTTGCCCTGGGCAGGTGCGCCCCAGAGACCAGCGGGCCCCCAGTCCCCCCCCCCCCCGCCCCCCACCGGGCCTCTGGGACCCGCCGCCCTTCTCCAGGGGCGGGGGAAGGGGTGGGCCAAGGGCGGGGCCTCTCGCCCAGGCCACCGCCCTCGCCCCGCGCACGGCTCCACCGGGTGCAGCGGGCAGGGCTGGAGGGGCGGGGACTCGGGAGGGGCCGGAGCGCGGCTGCCGGTGCGGCTGCTGGGGGGAGAGGGAGAAGGCGGCGCGTCCCCGGAGGCGTGCGCCCAGACTGCCGGCCGCCGGACCGACGCACGGAGGGAGAGGGCCGGGGGCGAGGTCAGTATCCGGTGGGAGCGCGGGCGGCGCGCGGAGGGGCCGCGGCGCGGGCAGCCGGGAACCCGGGGCAGGGGGCGGGGAGGGCGGCGGCGGGCGCGGGGTCGGTTCCGCTCGGGGGTCGGGCCCGAGACCCTCCCCTGGCCGGTCGGGCGCGCGGCGAGCGCGCCCCGGCCCCGGAAAGCGCAGCCCCCGCTCCCTTCTCCCTCCGTCTCTTTTCTTTCCAATCAGCGAAAATAAACACCCGGGAAGGTAAAACAATAGCGGGGCCACCTGGGACGCGGCGCGCGCGGAGCTCCCACGTTTGGGGCGGGGGCCGGAGGTGGCACCGGGAGTGGCGGCCCCACGTCGGAGCCCCCTCCCGCTGTGCCCCCGCGAAGGGTGGGGCTCCCCGCGGCGCCGGGCTCGGCAGGAGGCGAAGGGAATTCCCTGGAGTGAGGCGTGTGGGCAAAGTATTGCTGGAACAATCGGGCTTCCCGCATTTGCCCTGCTGTGGGCAGGGAAACTGAGGCGGGGGCCAGTGTTGCGACTTGCCCAAGGTCAGAACGCCCGGGTTGACTGTCCTGATCCGGGAACGGGACCCAGGCGTCCAGAGCAGCCCAGCGCTCAGCGCCTCTCGGTTTTGCGGCGCTGGTGTTCGCCTTTGATACATCTCTGTTGTGTTTGTTTTAGAAATCTGCTGGCATTGTGGGACCGGCTTCGCCTCGGGGCCGCTGAACGCCAACTTGCTTCGTGTGTTCTGGGTAGGTGTGGGGCAGGTGGCAGCTCCCTGACCTACCGACATGGATGGAGACGGACTTTTTGATGAAGAAACCCAGACAGTCGGTGCCATTCCGGGGCGATTTAGCTGTCAGAGGTTTTGACAAAACCTGCCCTGTTTCCTTTGGGGAATCCGAATGAGGGAGCTTACAGACATCTTCACTGGGAAGCCAAGGACATTTCTGTATAATCAGTGGATGAAAGGATTTTCTCAGACTCTTTTTTCCCTATTCCTTGAGGATTAATTCACTGCAATCTACAATTCCAGTGGAAACCGCAAGGCACACGATGTGGCAGAAGCCTAGAGGGCCTTCAGAATTGTTCTGGACCCTTCTTTTAGCATAGGGGAGTTCAACACAAGCCACTGGCCGCCCCCCTCCCCCCATCTTGCTGATCTCTTCTCTTTAACCTGTTTTCATTTTTTGAGTTACGTTCTATTTCCAAAACTGTCCTCTGGAGCTATAAGTGGATTGCCAGAAATGAGAGATTAAGTGCGAGAGAAGAGGGAGCGTCCTGTGTTGTGTCTCTTCTCTGCTGCCGACATGAAGTGCTTTTTCCCAGTGCTGAGTTGTCTGGCTGTGCTGGGTAAGTGGCTCTGCTTATCAGTGCGATCGATGTGAAAGTTTAACCTGCTGTTGGTTCCTGTAATTCCTTGTGGTTCTTTCCCATCAACACTTGGCTTGGGGGACACCGGCACACAGCAGTTATGTATCACAGGTTGGACTAGGGTACCAAGAGGCCCTATTCTGACCCGGGAGGAACGGTGAGATATTGTTTGCTGTCTTTAAGAAGGAACATCTACTGTCCTTGAAGTGTCTGTCCCCAGCTTTGCCTTGCGGTGAGATCCCTCCATCTGCATGTTAGTGGTTTAGGGGCTCCATGTACCTTATAAACTTCAGTGTCTTATCCGCTGTCCACATTAATTCCAAATTCAAAGTGGCACCGTTATTCTTACTGTGGGGAAAGTTGGTTTGGTGGTAATGATGCTCTGTTTTTTGTTTTGTTTTGCCTTTTTTTGTGGCGGGGGTGGGGAGTAGTCATGGGTGGAAATAGGGTGGCGAAGGGATGCATTGCCCTGCCTGAGTGACCTGGAGCCTAAAAGTGTTTGAGGATACCAGTCTTATGTCCCCTCACCAAGGAAACTCAGAGCGTAGTTCTGGAAGAAGAGAGACTGGAGGAGGGGAAGCTGCTTGCGAGGGAATGTGTTAGGAATGGTTTTGGTGCCCCTACAGAAGGCCAGAATGCTTAGAGCAGGATGAGGAACTGTGGTCCCAAGAGGTAGACCCTTGATACCTGCCCTAGGGATCCCCTTCCCATTGCAGAGCCCCTGTGCCCTCTTGCCCATACTTTCTATACCATCAAACATCGGCTTGTGTGAAGTATCTGAGGACACATCTTGGGTCTAGGATAAACTTCCTAGCCACGATCTGATGCATCCTCTCTGTCCATCTCCTCAGAGCTCGCACAGGAGCCCACTGTCTGACCTCTCTGTGTGGTTCTGTCCCCTGCGTGAAGAGGTCACCATGGCTGCCTATGGTGTCTGCATTTCCAAATCTAGATATTTGGCATTTACGGAGTTTATTCATGACCTGCTGGCAGTGGAGATTGCTCTGATGCGTTGTTTGTATGCTTGTAGGAGTTCACAGTTGGGTGGAAAGAACAGGTTTTGGAGTTTGAGAGCCTGATTTGAATCTGAGCCTCATTGTGATGGCCCTATAGACCTCAGTAAAATGGGATGATCCCTCCAAGGACTCTCTTGACAGTGAAAGTCTATAAGGTGTCCTGAATACCTTGACTGCTTTGAAAAATGTCTGGAACACATAATAAATGTGTGTAGTCAGTGATTCTTAAACTTGGGTGCATGTCGTAATCCCTGGGGGAAGCTTTTAAAAGTCCCGATCTCCGGCAGCAGCCCCAGACCAATGAAACCAGATTGTCCGGGAGGGTGAGCCAGGCATCAGTCTTTCTGCTCTCAAGGTAGTTCCAAGTGAAAGAACCAGTGTGTGAGTTCATTAGTGCCAGCCCTGCCCGCCCCGGCACACACTCAGACACAGGGTCCCCAGGCAGATTCATCGGTGCTGTGCTCAGGGGTGGGTGAGGATAAGGTGTCCCCGTGTCTCCCTTCTGTTCAGGCAGAGTTAAGAAAGCAGGTAGCTCTCTGGGCACCAGTCCTGAATATCCCATTGATACTTGTTCCTACTGCATTTGTCATTGACGTCGTGTCTGCGTTTAAATCAGTAATTAGTGATTCATGTGGATTCAAGAGGACAAACAAGGAAGGCCCTGGGGAGTTGGAGGAGGGTGGGATGGCTAAGGCGGGATAGAGGGCTGGGTGGAAGGGTGGGGCCCAGGGCAGGGGAAGGAGCCACCAATGGCAAAACAAGGAAATGGGACATTTGTGCCTTTTGTTTGTTCTGGTTGCTCTAGAAATGGGAGGCTTCCTGCAGGTCCCTCTGCTGCTCGCCCTCCGGGCCACTCTGTGGACTGGTCCTTGGGCCCTGACATTCTTCTCTTGCCTCCCCTCTCGCCCCCTTAGAAACAGGTGCGGGGGAGGGAAGGAAAGGAGCCTCAGGGTGGCGGTGAAGGGGAGCACTGGCCGCCACCAGAGGACCCGCCGTGGGTGAGGGTGGGAAGGTTCAGAAGTGGGTGTGCCTGGTGCTTTACCTCCTGCTGCTGAAGGCTCAACCTCTCCCATCACTGCGTGACCGTCAGCAGGGGTGGGGAGGGGCTCTTGCTACCCCCCCCTGCTAACCTTGGAGAACTGGAGGTGTCTAGGGAGGGAACAAAACCCAGGCTGGGGGTCTTCTTTCCTGCTTGAAGTCTGGTGTGGGCTGATTCATGCGTCAGCATTCTTGCTGTGTAATGTAAATTAATGTGTAATGTGAATTTCAAAGAGCAAAGAATCCCAAGGTTTTGTGCTCATGTGGGTCACACACCCAGAATCAAATTTTGTTTGTACAAAGTAGGATGAGGCTAAGTACTCTGCACAGTGGCGCGGGTACAGGGGCTGTCAGCCTCCAGAAACAGCAGTTTGAGTCAGAAAGCCCGGTGACAGTCCCTGAGGGCGGACCCGGGGTCCATCTCCCACATGCCAGCAACTCCCTCTGCACTTGTGGACCCACGCTTTGTGCCCCCTACCTTTGCCAGCGTCGGGGATTTGGATCAGGTTCCTCCTTTTCGGCCTGTCTGGGGGCTGACTCCTGCCCTTGTGTCTGTCCTCCCCGAAGCCACAGTGACCGCTATGTCTTGTCTCTTCCTCTTGCAGCGCTGGCTGCCCCACCCAGCTTGGGAGCCACTGGCTGCCACGGCCACCCTTGTGCCAGTTCCAGAGCCATCTGATGCCCAGGCCTGGTTGAGCCACGAGGGTTAGTGAAGTCTCCACTGCTGAGAATGGGCAGAGCCAGAGGGGCAGAAGATGAGAGAGCGAGAGAGAGCGAGAGCAAGCACGAGCAGGGGCTGGTGTGACCGTGGCATGACTGTGGCGTGCATGTGAAAAAGGAGGGAATGAGGAGAGAGGGAGAGGGGGCCGGGACTGTGCCAGGCAGCAGCCTGCATGAGTGACAGGGACATGGCAAAATGACAGCCGTGTGGGAGAGACAGACTAGGATTTGTGTCTGCAAGAACAGGAAGGGGACAATCAAGAAAGATGATTGTAAGTTTCAGGCCCATAAAGCAGATTTCGGTTTTGCATAGCCATGAAGAGTTACGCCTCCTAGGCCAGTGCTAATGCTGCAAACAAGACGAAATAGCTTTAGAAGTGTGAGCCTGGAAAGAGGAGATTGGGACATCTGTGGATCAGCCCGGGAGAACCTGTAGCTGGCTCGTGACCATTCGTCTTCTCCTCCAGCGGCGGCAAATTTCATGTGTAGGGTTTGAGAGGCTGCTTGCTGGAATAGGAGGGGACCGAGGCAGTGATCCCTTACCATGCCGTTAGCTAGGGAAGAGGCCAGAGGGTTCTTCCAAAAGAGATTGAAGGGAACTTTGATGCTCTGATGAGAGTGAGCTCAGAGGCAGGACTCATGATCAAAGGCAGAAGACACAAGTGAAGCAGATCGGGGGTGGTCAGGGGATGAGTTCTGAAGGTCGTGATTTATGGGTGAACAAGCACCATCCCTAGCAGTTGTTGCAGGGGTGGTACACTGTCCCTTTCCTGGGGACCATTTGACAGGGGTGCCTGAGAAGGGAATTATCAGGAGGGCTAGACCGGCTAGGAGGCCTTTCAACTCTGGGAATTACTGAGTCACCACTATGCCCCCCAGGCTGTGTTAAGATGCTCCCGTGCCCTGCACTTTGCATTGCAGTAAGGGAAGAACAGTAATGATACCACCTCTCCTAGCTCTGGCCTTGGCTGTGAAGCGAGCCCCGTCTCATGAAGTCCTCCACATACACTCACTGGATAGAGGACTCCCAGCATCACCTGTGTGTAGATGGAGCCACTGAGGTCCAGGGAGGTTAAGGAACCTGCCTCAGGAAGACTACTGTACCAGCTCAATATGGTGTTCCACAGTGGCAGGGATCCAGGCCCCTTCTGTCTCCCTCGTGCATGCCTCCATTCCCAAGGTCATGGCATGATCTGAGACGGCTGTGCTAGCCCCAGCCATCATGAAGGGGGTAAAGGATTGGTGAAGGGCAGGACTTCATAATTTAAGGACATTTCTGGAAGGTTGCCCTCCCCTCTTCTGCTTATACCCCTGTTGGCTAGAACTTGAGCGCATGACTGTACTCGGCTGCAAGGGGGCCTGAGAAATGGCTTCCTGAATTCTGACCAGCTAAAAACTAGGAGTTCTGAGAAGAGAACAGATGTGGGAGGGTCAGCAGTGGCTTGCTGGCTGAGCGACAGAGCTAGTGAGTGACAGCAGAGGGTTTTGAAGCCAAGATTTTCTGGTCCAAAGCCTGTGTTCTTCCATCTCGCCAGCTGCCCCTCTGTGACTCTGCGGCCCAGCCCCTGGCCTCTAAGAAGCCTTACCGGGAGGGCGCGAGCCAGATGAGCCAATAGTCGTTACAATGGGAAGCAACATAAATTCACATACAATCACGCAGGCAGTGTTGTGATTTTAACAGTAGTGACTCTAGTGTTTTTAGTCCGCTTGTGTGCCAGTCACTGCTAGATACTTGGCGGAGCAAAGCCCTTCCATACGGAGGACCCTCCCTATCATGTTCACTGCCGTAGCCCCAGAGCTCAGCCTTATGCCTGGCACAAAGTAAGTAGGTGTTCAGTTAGTTTTTTTTCTTTTTAAGATTTTAAATTATTTATTTGAAAGAAGTAGGCAGAGAGGCAGGCAGAGAGAGGAGGAAGCAGGCTCCCCATTGAGCAGAGAGCCCCATGCGGGGCTCGATCCCAGGACCCTGGGATCATGACCTGAGCCGGAGGCAGAGGCTTTAACCCACTGAGCCATCCAGGTGCCCCTGTTCAGTTAATTTTTTGATGACTAAATGGTTTCGATACTCTTCCTTGCCCAGGACAAGGAAACTCAAGGCTCAGGGAGCTCAGGTCCTTTTGCTCAAAGGACAAACATTAGAGATGGGCAGAGTCTAGATTTGAATCCAAGTTGGGCTCTAGAACTTGTGCTTTTAAAATGTTGACA